ATCCATCCATCCATCCATCCATCCATCCATCCATTTATCCGTCCATCCATCCATCCATCAATCCATTCATCCATCCATCCATTAATCCATCCATCCATGCGAAATCCATCCATCCATCCATCCATCCAACCATCCATCCATCCATCCATCATCCATTAATCCATCCATCCATGCAAAATCCATCCATCCATCCATCCATCCATCCATCCATCCATCCATCCATCCATCCATCCATCTATCATCCATTAATTCATCCATCATCCATCCATCCAGCATCCACCCATCCATCCAACATCCATCCATCATCCATTCATCCATCCATCCATCCATCTATCATCCATCCAGCATCCACCCATCCATCCATCCAACGTCCATCCATCCACCCATCCATCCATCCATCCAACGTCCATCCATCCACCCATCCATCCAACATATGTCCGTCCATCCATCCATCCATCCATCCATCCATCATCCATTAATCCATCCACCCATCCATCCATCCACCCATCCATGCATCCAACATCCATCCATCCATCCACCCATCCATCCAACATATGTCCATCCATCCATCCATCCATCCATCAATCATCCATTAATCCTTCCACCCATCCATCCATCCACCCATCCATGCATCCATGAATCCATCCATCCATCCAACATCCGTCCATCCACCCATCCATCCACCCATCCATGCATGCATGAATCCATGCATCCATGAATCCATCCATCCATCCAACATCCATCCATCCACCCATCCATCCAACATCCATCCATCCAACATCCATCCATCTATCATCTTTGGGAATAAGAGTGATGTGAAAATAGTCTGAGCACAGCTTGCTTTGAGTGTTCTGTACATTTTCGTGGACTTCAGAGTTTGTGGTTGTGATATTCAGTGTTGGTCAAGTTACTTGAAAAAAATAATCAGCAACTAATTACTGATTACTTCCACCAAAAAGTAATCCCGTTACTTTACTGATTACTTATTTTCAAAAGTAATTAGTTACTTAGTTACCTTTTAAAAACATGATTTACAACCTGAATAGGTGATAAAGCGATAGATCTTTCAGCCCAATTCTACTTTATCTGCATAATCCATCATACAAAATGTAATCAGATGGAAAAGTCTCTTTTTAAAATTTGTTTTATTAGTTTTAATCTTTTAACTTTATGCATCAAGGAAAAATTAAATTATATGTAATCTGTAATTGTAATTACTGTAATGGGCAGTAACCATCTCTGGTGATATTAAAACTGAGTGACACCTTTGAATTCTGGCGTGTTGAAGCAGAAAGATTTCAAAGCTAAAATGTCAGCGACTCCCATCCAGCATGAAGGCCGGCTTCTCTGAGGTTTTATTCCTGGAAGCTTCACATCCGTTAAATCCCTGTGAGTGCTGCTTTTCCCACGGTCCGTGTGAAAGCAGCTGACTCCAGTCTCTAACAGCCTGCTCAGTGTCACTTTGAGCCAAGCACCTCACAGAGACGTCACCATCCGCTCTCATCGGGATTTATGAACCATGTGCAGATGTTTATGAGTCAGGAAACAGACGAAGGGCTGAACATCCCGTTATCTAAACTCTCCCCTTCAGCACGTTAACCGTGGGACGCTGAGAGGATGAAGGCTCGTTCATCATCGCTCTGCTGTCATCAGCCGTTATCAGGGCCTCTCTCTCCCGGGCCAATTAACCCGTCTGCATACCTGCCCGCCTTATCTGTCCTCCTGCGCTATCTCGTCCTCCGCTTTTCTGTCTCCTGCACTTCCTGCCTCCCTAACACGACTCACGTTACCGTCTCAGCTTCATTTTCATACTTTTATTTTTTATTCATCTTCACAGCGCTGTGGTCCAGCAGGAGATAAATAACTATTAACTATTCCTGAGCATCCCTCACTTCAACTTCTGTTTAATTTTAAGCATCACTTCATGGTGGAAACATCTTTGTTTTTTGAGAGGAACACAGGAGATATGAAGACCAAGAGTTTATAAATCAAAATAAATGAATTTGTCACTGACAGGTATCAGACAGAAGCATCGTGCAGAAGCCTTAAACAGAGAGTCTCTGATTGTGGCTCCTCTGGGAGCATAAATTTCTCGTCCCTGTGCGAAGTGATGTGAGGATTTGATTTATTAAAGTTGGGTTTTAAAGCGCAGGTAATGTAAGAGTAAGAGCTATGGCATGGCGGGCAGCGGCAGGTGCAGGTGTGCGATTGTGAAGTCGGTCTGGGCCTCTGAGCTTCTTACCGACTGATGCTTGTGTTGGAATGTGAGCAGAGAGGATTAACGGCCTAATCCCCGAGAACAACCCGACGCTCACACCTCCGGACACTGAGCTGCTCAGACA